GCTATCTCCTTAAAATCTACTCAGTGAAATCATTTCCTCACAATCATTTTCATGAATTGGAGAGAAACCTTATGTCACTTAGATTTTAAGGTGTATGTGTTCCTATCCATGGGAAAATGTCATTCCCAACCATTATCATAAGACAAGGTCTATGATAAATTCAAACTCAAAGGGACTGAACTTGTTCAATCTTAATTTCTTGTCACTTAGCAGCACAAGGGCCTACCATGTCTTCCGAGTTGCTGTGAGATCACCCTTACTGATCAATGAACTTTCACTGATCAAGGTGCTTTACCTTATGCATACAATTGAGAACTCATAGAACTATCATGCATAGTCAAATTTAACTGGAATGAGCACATAAACAAGAATATGTCAACACGATCGATTACAAACCTCAAATCGTGAGCTAGTGATACATAATAGGTTTATTCTTGATTAGTTCCTGAAACTTTTCAAGATCTTTAAGACTCCCACTGACTTCTTGACATATAAGATTCTCTTCTCAAGAAACATTTCTTGACAATCAAATATTCAAGAGTTAGTGTGGATTCTTATCAATAATGACACTTCATGTAATTGGTCTTAGTTGGTCTTTGTCTTATCTACAACATCACAGCTACCAATTCCAAATGTGCATGAGCAAGAAAACTTTTCTACTCCACATTCCATGATGTGTTATAAACCTACTTAGGATATGTCACTCAATGTACAATCTTGGAGTATGACTCTAAGAATTGATTTTTGAACGAAGTATGACTCATCTTCTTGATTTAACCATTTCTACAATTCCCGATTCCTCTTCTTAGCCATACAAGTGCACTAAGGTGTCCTTAGAGGATCAATTGTGATATGGTTTTCATAATCATTAAGATGATCATAAAACACGATACTAAAGTATGCTGCTTTCCTTTCAGATTGGAGAAACTTTTATCTTTCTTCCTAATTGATTCTTCTTATTCGTTCTACTATACATTGAAACTTTTTCAATGATTCAGAATTACACTTAATCCTATAAGCATAATCATATTCACTAAGCTTTTAGTAAATCATGACGAATAGTCTTATCGTTCTTTGTGGTGGACCTGGTCAGTTCACAACAAGGTGTACTAGATCCCCTAGTCTTTCACTTGACTCACATTTATATGTGAATAAGGAATTAGTCTTAATTTCCTAAAGATGAAGGTCCTCATTCATCATACAATACGAGTTTCATGATTCCAAGTTTCTGTCCAATTGTGACTTGCTGATGAGAATCTTCCCTTATTTGGTAAATTTCTGACACTACCACAAATGAAAGAATCAAATCCATATTGCTAAAAATAGAAACATACAAACATCAATTTTCACAAATGCCATTGCAAGGAAATATAAAATAAGATAAAATCAAAATTTTTCTTTATTTATAAAATGTGGAAAACTTGTCCTTATATGAAAACTATGTTGCTACATATTTCTAAGCAATCTATCATAACTCCTAAGCAGCAGCTCAAAATTCTGATCACCGAATCATGCGATCGAAATCCATCTCTTCGCAATTAGACACAACCTGCTCTTTCTTTAAGGTTCCCTTCTCTTATTCGATCCTACAAAACATCAAAATGTAATCTTATCACATCATGTTATTAAGAATCTATAAATAGGAACTTAATAGAGTTAGATAGTGAACTTACCTGAAGTAGAATCATACAATTTGATTTTACCCTCTCTTAGATCTTTCAGGTAGTCAGGGCAGCTTCGCTTCCAATGTCCCTTCAAATGGCAATAGAAACAAGTGGACTATTTTTCATTTGCACATGGAACTATCTCAGAACTGGCTTTTCTCTTATGGTCAAATCTTTTGACCATAGCTAATTCCCTTCCCATACGAGAAGGGATTTTTTATGGACTATCTATGTCATTGCCTATGTCCATGGCAGCTTGGGAAGTAGATCTTCTAATCAAATTTGCTTGACCAGTGCGCCAGATCATTGTCGATTGAGCAGCAATTAGCAAATAGGTAAGATCGATAAAGGGTCACGTCGTGATCTGTCAGATAGTAGTCTTTAACAAACTGACCATACGACTCGGGAAGTGATTGAAGAACCAAGTCAACAGCCAACTTCCTTGATACAACGACTCCTAACATTCCCAACCAATCAATGTGTGACTTCATCTCCAAGACATGTGCACACACAGACCTTCCATCTTGGTGTTTGCTAACCGATAGGGTTTGAGTGACCTTTAACTTTTCAAGTCGACGAACACGTAGGTTAGGGAGAACTATTGGAGGAGGTGGAGGAAGTGAAGTATGATTTCTGGGAACATCATCTTCATGTGGAAAGCTTTTTCCAAAAAGTTCGGGAGGACCATAGTTGTCAGAACTAGACATCTATAAGGGGAGAAGTTCAAAGTTAGTTGATTTAAGTCCTTAATATAACACCCAAAATGAAATATTAAGGCTAGGACCCAACACAATATTCTACAATTCGTAAGTGGGATGCCATAATCCAATTGTAAAATATTTGAAGGTAGGTAAATGACGATTTACCAATTTCTACCATGAAAAACAAAAAGAGCATTAGGTTTTAAATGAATTGAAATTCCTAGATTCTTTGAGATTCATTGAACTTTTTCAATGGCATGTTGAATCTCGATTATGCCTTTCAAATTTGTGACTGGGATGCCGAGGATCACAAACAAGGTGTGAATAACCATGCAAATTAGCTTGGTACACTCGAAGTCATTTATCACCTAATCAATGTGTCGGTTAACCACACACGCTCCATTGATCTATGACAAACTACGAGCTACCCATTGCCATCCTTCATTAGTCCCATATTAGTGTGTCGGTTAACCACACATGCTCCACTAACGACTAATAAGGTGCAATGTGCAATTTCATGGGTTAGCATCAAATTCACATTTTTCCTAAGTAACTAAGATTTGGAATTTATAAAAGGTTTAGTTACTTTATATTTCATTATACTTTTAATGAGGATTTAAATGTCCTATCAAACTCATTCAGCTAACGACCCTCCACTAGTCAAGAGTGCGGTGGGTAAGAGTGGATACCCATTCAATCGCCATTTTATAGGCAATTTCCTTAAACACCCCTTATAGACTAGTTTCGTGAATAAGGCCTACTAACAGTAAGACTGACTTTTAACTTATACATATATAATATATTAAACTTTTAATTGGATATAGTATAAGGGTGTAACTTACACATTTAAAATATTTGGTGGTTTAATCGATTAATAAGTTAAACTTTTAATTTAATTAAACTTAAACCATATCCTTATGGAATTATTAATTCTCTTTTAATTAAACACTTTAATCAATTTAATAATATCCATAAGGTGTAATTGAACTATTCAAAAACCATCAAGGTTCTAAATATAAAAATTCAAAATTAAAAACTATTTAATTAATTTTTTAAGTTATGAACTCAAGAGTTGTACCTTTTGAAACCTTTCAATTACTAGATGTTTTAGAATTCAATATTTCAAATTAAAACTTTTTAATTAAACTTTTCAAATTCCAAAACTTGAGGGCAAGTTATGAAACTCTTCAAAACTTTTGGATTCTATAACTTATGGAGTTAATGAATGAAACTTTCCAAGTTCCATAACTTGAGGACAAGTTATGAAACTCTTCAAGACCTTTGCAATTCCATAACTTAAAGTGATTAAAGTTTCATATATGAGACTTTTCATATTTCATAACTTGAGGACAAGTTATGAATCTCTTCATGAAACACTTAGATCAAAATATAAACTAATACAATTATCATATAACTTATCATTTACCAATTTGACCTAATTTAACTCTTATTGCAAGACAATTCTCTTCAGACAATACAAATAATCAAATTATCATATAATCAAAACATTATCTTAAAATTTAATAATTGTCTTTTTAATTTTGGATGATTGAAATCATTAGCTTATCACAAAAACAATTTTTTAATAGTCAAAACAGTTTTTGGTAATGATTCTAATCCAAAACTTGGCCATTAACTGAAAAAATCGTCCACTGAACAGTCACCACGTCATGGTGATCATGTAGATTCGCAAAAAAACAATTTTTCTTGCTTTGAACAATTAACCAATGCATCAACATAACAGAAAGCACCCATGGCTCTGATACCACTATTGGGTTTTATGTACTATAACACTCCTATGGTGCATATACAACCCTAATGCTTTGGATCTAAGTTTTCTCTAGTTATACATGCAACAAAATTATCCAAAGCATGAAACCTATCTAGCATACAAATATTGTACATGAATCATAAAACTAGTTAGAAGAATACCTCTTATTTGTAGCTTGTAGTTGTTGGCCTTTCAAGAGCTTAGCACCTCAAGTATGATGCCTCAAACAAGTCACAAACACCATGAACAAATGGAGAATAATGAGCGAGGTTATGGAGCACACAAAATCGTCCATCTCTTAGAATAATCCACCCTTGGTCGATTTTTGGCTTTAGTGGGTTACATATATAGTGTAGAATTCCAAGAGGTATATGTAACCCTAATTCTTATACTTAAGCTTATGATCCATAACTTATTTGGACTAATAATTTATGGACTTTCACATAATCTTAGCCCATTACAAATTAATCATGGATCATTAGCCCAAACCATATGTCTCACTGATTTACATAATCAGTCCCCATTAATTTAATTAGTCTCTTTTGATCATTAAATTAATTCCAAATTAATTTTTGATCAGTACTAATTAATTCATATGATTTCTCAATTAATATGTTATACTTATAATATATTAATAAATCACAAATAACCTCTTTCTCAAATATCCATCCTGTCAAATTGTTATGGTGAAGGCAACCCGAAATAGACCATGCTACTATCGGGTCAAGTACATACCAATTATAGTTATCGGCTTAGACACCTAATCCAACACTTCTTCATCAACTGAGTCAACGGAACTGCTATCTTGGAGAAATCCTAGATGAGTCTCCGATAATAACCTGCTAAACCAAGGAAACTCCGAATCTAAGATGGAGACCTCGGAACCTCCCACCTCATCACGGCCTCGACCTTGGCCGGATCGACCAGAATACCATTTTGGTTGACAATGTGCCCCAGAAACTGCACCTCGCGCAACCAGAACTCGCACTTTGAGAACTTTGCAAAAAGTCTCTCCCTCTTCAAAGTCTCCAAAACCTCTCTCAAGTGCTCCTCGTGTAGCTCCTGGGTGTTGGAATAGACCATGATATCATCAATGAATACAATTACAGACCGATCTAGCATCGGTCTGCATACGCGGTTCATGAGGTCCATGAACGCGGCTAGAGCATTGGTGAGCCCGAAGGGCATCACCACGAACTCGTAATGACCATAGTGAGTCCGGAAGGCCGTCTTCTGCACATCCTCATCTCTAACCCTCATCTGATGATAAATCGAACACAAATAAATATTGGAAAACCAAGATGCACCCTAAAGCTGGTCGAACAGATCATCAATCCTCGGGAGTGGATAACAGTTCTTCACACTCAGCTTATTCAGCTATTAGTAGTCAATGCACATACGATGCGACCCATCCTTCTTTTTCACAAACAAGATTGGTGCTCCCAAGGCGAACTGCTCGGTCGAATGAATTCCTTGTCTAACAGCTCCTGCAGCTGTGTAGACAACTCATGCATCTCAGGAGGAGCCAACCAATACAATGCTTTGCTATCGGAGCCGCACCTGGAACCACATCAATCCTGAACTCTACCTGCCTCTCTGGAGGCACCACATGCAAATCCTCCGGAAATACATCCGGATACTCCCACACAATTGACAGATCATCCACAGTCCCCTTAACCTTATCCCGGGTATCCATAACATTGGCGACGAATTCAGAACAACCCTGATGAATATAGCGTATGGCCCTCGCTCTTGAACACAAAATCAGCCCACGCTGAGCTCTCTCTCCCTGAACCACTAACTCTCCCACATTCAGGGTTCGAATCTGAACTAACTGGTGCTCACAATCGATCACCGCCCCATTGGGGCTCAACCAATCCATACCCACGATAACCTTGTTCCCACACAAAGGAATGAGAACCAAATCAATCGATTACTGCTCGCTGAACATCTGAAGAATACAACCCCGATGAACCCTTGCTACCCAGACAGATCGATCATCTGTCATCTCGACATCTAAAGGACAATCCAGCTCCCCAAAAGCTCCAATAAACCTCTTGCTAAGCGCAAGCAATACAAATGATTGGGTAGCCCCCGAATCAAACAATACCAAAGCAGCAATACTATTCACGAGGAACGATCTCGTCACCACATTAGGTGCCACACGAGCCTCTTCATCTGTCAACTGAAAAGCCCTGCTCTTCACCACAGGTGCATCCTCCTTTCCCTAGCGGCAGTTAGTGATCCGTAGAGTCGCAGGAGCGAGTGTTGACACCGGCCCTGATGCAGTCAAACTCAGACAATGGGCCTTCTTGTGGCCCCTCTGATTGCAATGAAAGCAAATCAGATCAGATACCGGGGTGGTGATGGTAATAGCAGTAAAATCTCTACTGATATGACTCGTCCAGCCGCACTTCAAGCAGCCAGAACCACTCACCCTGCACGCCCCATCGTGCGTCTTGCCGCACTTGACACAACGGCCCCGGCCCTGCTGGCCCCTCGATCTCGTATCAACAACCTTGGGCCTCTTGCCCGAACCCTCTGCACTCTGCACAAAATCTGGCTTCCTCTTCTTTTCCATCTCTAGATCTATCTCCCTCTCCCTGGCTCTCGCAATAATATCATCCACTGTTTTGCAACTGGATCGGCTCATAAACTGCCAAATATCGCTCCTCAACATTTCATGGTACCTCACCTTCTTCATCTCCTCGTCTGCCACATACTTGGGAACCAACAACGCTCTCTCCCGGAACATCGCGTTGAGCTCAACCACCATCTCAGTAGTCTGGCGGAGATCCTGAAACTCTCACACCAACTGCTGCACCTCAATCACTGGTGCAAACTCAGCCTTGAATCTCGTCGCAAAATCATCCCATGTCATGGACTCAATCGCCTCGCCTCCTAAGACTAGTGCGAAAAGCGTTAGCGACATCTGCTAACCATCGTCTGCTCGTAATCGGGTCCTTCTTCCCGAAGAACTCTGGCACTCACATACCCTGAACTCACAGAAGGTCAATGAACGTGCTCCCAACATGCCTACCATCTCATAACAGAAAGGACCCAAACGCTCCTCCAACAACTCCACAATACCCTCCTTGATCGTACCAAAGATCATAGGAGTCTGCTCAAGTATGCAACGCGTAATCTCAGACAAAATGAACTCTCGCGTTTGATCATCCAACTGCCTGGCTCAGGAAGCTGAGCCCGAGCCCTCACCAGCACCAGAACTACCAATCGGTATGCCTCAAGAGTTAGCATACTCAAAATAGACCATGAAAACCATCAGAATACGCATCAAAATATATATCGAGGAATCTCATACCCTACAAGCTTCATGGTTTCATCGCGGCTCTCTTTGACTCGAGTACGGATCTTCTGCTTCCAGTAGTACGGCCCCATACTACCTTCCACATCTATCTTGTAACACTCTAAATTTTCAACCAAATTTTTCATTTTTAAAATCATATAAAACCCAATATCATATTTCTCAAAAACCACAAATATATAAGTTGTCAAAACACAAGTCAACAATTGTTTAATAATATCCCAAAATCCTCAAAACATAAACTCCAACTGGTGTGTACAATCAAGTCGGCGCCTTTCTGCGATCCTGAGAAGTACCTGAAACACATATCACACAACACTATAAGCACGAAGCTTAGTGAGTTCCCCAAAATACCACATACACAAATAATAAGCCTCTCATGGCTATAGCTTGTCATGGACCCTCCGGTCCTGCGTCTCAGTGAGGACCCTCCGGTCTCACGGCTCGGTGTGGACCCTTCGGTCATGTGTCTCAGTGAAGAGCCTCCGGTCTCACAGCTCGGGTGGACCCTCCAGTCCTGTATCTCAGTGAAGACCCTCCGGTCTCACAACTCGGTTTGGACCCACCGGTCCTAACTCAGTAATGCACAGAATAATATAGCATATATCACAAAGACAAGATGCATAATATCACATAACTCAATATAATCACATAGGACCCTCTGGTCGATAAGTCAAATAAGACCCTCCGGTCACACAGCATTACCACTCAGGTAAGTATAATGAGAAGACTCACCTCGTATAGTAAAGCAGTATATGCCACACTCAAACTGTTGGTCTAGAATCCGCTCCTCCATAGCCTCCAAAATCCACAGCGTGACCAAACCCTAAAGTCAACGAAGTCAACAGTCAAAGGTGAACCAACTCGTCGAGTGCAACTCATGAACTCGTCGAGTTCCTCAATACTCAGTAATCACTAAAACCCGAGTCAACTCGCCGAGTTGCTAGCCAAATCGTCGAGTCCATGCAGAGTCCAGAAGATTGGGTAAAACCCCAGCCACACGTCGAGTTGTCCCACCAACTCGTCGAGTCCATTCTGAGTCCAAAAACAGGGAAAACTCAACTCAACTCGTCGAGTTGGATGCCCAAATCGTCGAGTTGGATGCCCAACTCGTCGAGTTCCTCACCCCATTCTCATTTAACTCATTCCAGTCGATTCCAATGCTCCAAACTCCAGATCCAACCTCCTAGGATGAAGTTACCACGTAAAGTTGCTAACTTTACGATCATGCAAGGCCTCACAAGGCTATATCACTCAAAACTAAGCTCAAGAAGGGGTTTAGGACATGAGGACCGGTCAAAGCTTCATAAAGCTTGAGACTTTATGTACATGAGACCTAGAGAAGTCCAGATCTGAAACTCATACCCTCTGGGCAAGCTTAACTCGAGAATGGCCCTCATTTTGCACCAAAAAGCCCATAACTCACACAAGAAGAGATCTAATAAATGGCAAGCCAAGGTAAGGACTCTTTACCTCTAAATAGATGCTACAACTGTATGAATGCTGGATCTAAAGACTCCTCCTTGTTCCAAGCTCTTCACTCTCCAAGCTTCCTCCAAGAATGCACACTTTTGGCTTCACACACTCAAAATATGGGCTAGCTCACTAGGGTTTCTCTCTGGACGTAATAGGGGGTGAGGGAGGCGGGGTAAGGGAGTTAAAGTCCTTTAAATAGGGTGCAAACCTGAATAATTAGGGTTTTCTCTAAACAGCCTCAACTCGTCGAGTCCATCTCTCCGACTCGACGAGTAGACTTCATAACTCGCGCGTCCAGATCAACTCCTACACGACGAGTTGGGCCAACCAACTCGTCGAGTAGGCCCTTCAACTTACACAAAATCCTCAAGTCCTACGTCCAGGAATTGGGGTGTTATAATTCTCCCTCACTTAAATTAGATTTCGCCCTCGAAATCGCTCTTTATCAACACATCGATCGAAACAAACACCCGAGAAGCACCACCGGCAAATCTCATATCGTACAACGATCTCCCTCCCAAGACACCCGTAACCAAACAGGAACTCCCAACCCGAAGAAGGACGGACCCCTCTGCAGTTACAGTGCCAGCTCTGACTCCCCAGAACCAGAAAACTATAGTGGTCTGTCTCCCCGACAGACCACCGATGCAGAATATCATCATGTTAATTGCTCATCGAATAACAGACCCTGATAATCACTTCCAACTCTAATTATCTTGTTGTGACTGTTGGGTACAAGTCATTGACCGATAATTGGCTTCTGATCACTCATGACTGACATATTAATCGATCCAGATCGTAACTCAAAAGGAACGGAGGGGTCACATCTCACCAAGTACCAACCACCGGTACTACTATAAGAACCAGTCTAAAGAATGAATCTCAATACTCTAATCTCAGACACTAGAATAATGACCATGCCCGGTCAGAAATATCCTCTTATTTCTATATCTATAAGCCCCAGCTTCCCTTCAAATGCTCCTTCCAGCACTGGGTACCAGGTCAGCTCCCGACCCAAGAGTTGAATCTCCAAGGCTACCCTAGCCCATCCGGCAATACGACTTCACAGTCGTCCTATCCAACTGAGTTGTCTCAACCAATCACACTGGACTCACAATCACGAAGTTCGCTTTACCCCAAGCGATTACTACAACTAAATTGAAGTCACACCTCACCTTCGACCTCTGTCTTCTACCACTTGCTAATTCATGCTTGTCGTGGTCCTCCTTAAACCAACGAACCGATTCACCCAGGTCTAGAGCAACAGATGGGAAACACATCCCACTCAGAATGAAATCCATATGGAAACTCCAAAATCCCAACCTGCTCGTCCTCCACACAGATAGAGCCAAACTCAAACACAAGAGTCTGGTCTGACACAGAATTGGAACCACTCGTCCCATTCTGGTACTCAACTCATGACCCATGTTCCACGAATCTACGCATGCATTACACCTCG